AAAAAAAAAAAAAAAAACCTGTTAAGAGAGGTAAACTCTAGGGAATAGGACTAGAGGATATGGGGTGGGGTTTCCACTCTTTGGAACTGTATGAGTTTTTACCATTTGCAGGTACTACTTTTATAATATTAACACAGACATACAATTCTGGGATATACCTACCAGTTCGCTTAATTATTTCCCACACACCCCATGGGGTAGCCGGTAACATGGAATACTGGTCCAAACACATTCGCCCTACATTGATTACATGAAAGCCATCCACATCCTTGTCTGGAGAAACAGCATTGCAGATCTTTCTCTCATCAATATGCTCTGAAAAAGAAATCAGCACAGCTGCCTTAAATCACCACTGCAGTCAGCACTGCCTAACTCCAGCTTATGTGCTTTGTCAAGAATATCCGTTCTTCTACAGCTTGCCTCTGAGATGTACTTCATCTGCATGGAAGGAACTCACATAAGCAAAGCCAAACACCAAGAGCAAAGCCAATATAGTTTATCACAGCTGCTTCCCTCCGCTGTCCTTTGTATCAAGACCACAATGCTAAATCAAGGGGTAACTGGTATTCTGAGTAGGTCTGTCCCATTTCTAATAAAATAGTCACTCTTTTGAATTTACTTTGCCTTTAAGCCAAATCCACATGAAGAGCCAGGTGTATAAAGTAACAAGGCCTCTTTACTTCTGAGAAATCATTTTAGGTAGGGCATGGTAGTTCACGCCTGTAATCCCAGCACTTTGGGAAGTACGGAGTTCAAGACCAGCCCAGGCAACACAAGGAGACTTCCATCTCTGGGAAAAATGTAAAAGTTAGGTGGGCGTGGTGGCACACACCCTAGTCCTAGCTATTTGGGAGGCTGAGGCAGGAGGATCCCTTGAACGCAGGAGCTTTGAGCATGCAATAAGCTATGATTGTACCATGGTACTCCAGCCTGGGTGATAAAGCAAGACTTGGGACAGAAGGGGAGGGGAAGGAAGGGGAAAGGCTGGGTGCAGTGGCTCACGCCTATAATCCCAGCACTTTGGGAGGCCGAGGGAGGTAGATCACCAGAGGTCAGGAGTTCGAGACCAGACTGACCAACATGGTGAAACCCATCTCTACTAAAAATACAAAAAAAATTAGCCAGGTGTGGCGGCCCACGCCCGTAATCCCAGCTACTCAGGAGGCTGAGGCAGGAGAATCGCTTGAACCCAGGAGGTGAAGGTTGAAGGATCCAAGATCATGCCACTATACTCCAGCCTGGGCAACAGAGAGAGACTCTGTCNAAAAAGAAAAAAAGCAGAAGCAGCAGAAATCATTTTAAATGGTGGAATCCAAAACTCACCTGGAAGAGGCAACTGAACAAGGAGGCCATCTACATTATCATCATTATTCAGTTTATTGATTAAATTCAACAATTCTTCCTCTGAAATTGAAGCCGGTTTCACAATTGTCTCACTGTTGATTCCTATTATAAGAAATTTTGAGATTAAAAAAAAAATGTCTGAGGCATTTAATGAGCACTGCTATGTTGCCTACCATACTTGGCTACCATACAGGTTTTGTATCATCATACTCACCCCTAAAAGCTGAAATAGCTCAAGAACCTAAAAAAGTAAATTCACAAATATACACACTGGAGAATACTAGCTTAACACATCCTGTATACCTCATTCTATGCAATCCTTATTAACCTTATTTTACAGACAGACTGAGGCTCAGTCTTTCTGATTCCAAAATCTATGTTCTTTTTCTGTACCACACTACCTCCCAATGTCTTAAAATGCCATGGCTTGTCTGGTTACAGCGGCTCATGCCTGTAATCCCAGCACTTGTGGGAGGCCAAGGCGGGCGGATCACCTGAGGTTGGGAGTTCAAGACCAGCCTGACCAACATGGAGAAACCTCGTCTCTAATAAAAATACAAAAGTAGCCAGGTGTGGTGGCTCAGGCCTATAATCCCATCTACTCGGGAGGCTGAGGCAAGAGAATTGCTTGAACCTGGGAGGTGGAGGTTGCAGTGAGCTGAGATGGCGCCATTGCACTCCAGCATGGGCAACAAGAGCGAGACTCCATCTCAAAAAAAAAAAAAAAAAAAAAATGCCATGGCCTGCAATTTTCTAGAGGTTTCTAAAGGCATTCAATTAAAAGAGCAGGAGGCCTCAATCCTCAAAGATAAAGAGTAGAGGATACCACAGGCTCACAGACCAGTAACCCCATCCAGCCAGGCCAGTGGTTTCACAGCCCTTCAGAAGTAAAGGCCACCTGCTGCTCAGACCACAGGCCCACAGATGGACAGGCAGAGGCATATCTGAGCCTGCCCACCCACCTCTTGTCCACAGCCACACAGTCATCTGTGGTACCATGAAGCCTAGAACACAAGCCCCATCATCCAGACCTGAACTGCTTCTAAACTGCACGTTTGTCTTTAGAACCAATCAGTGAAGAACTTGAAAGCTATTTCCCAGAAGTCAGAGTCATTTCCTTCAAATCTATGACTGCGTTCCTGACCTCATCACTGAGGTCTCCTAAAACTGTATTGCTCCATCATGCCCCCTAAGCCTCTAAGGCTTGAAACTGCAGAACACTGAAACACCTCTGCTGGAGAGACCCATTGTTGCTCAAGAAAAGCAAATGTGAAATGTGTTCAAGGTCACCTATCGAATGTAAAGACTGAAAAAAGAACTTGGTGGGGGGTGGGGAGTTGGGGAGAGATAGCATGGGGAGAAATGCCAGATATAGGTGATGGGGAGGAAGGCAGCAAATCACAATGCCATGTGTGTACCTATGCAACAATCTTGCACGTTCTTCACATGTACCCCAAAAC